GGTTTCTACCTGGTTCCGGGGTGCATTTTTCTTGTTTCGCCTTCCTGGCTGCTGCTGCTCAAACTGGTAACGTGTAGTGCAACGAAAATAACATCAGCATTTTGAATAATCTCTCTCCTTTCTCCGCTTGTTGCAGGTGAGTGTCACGGGGTGGTGTACCTGCTGAGCTGTGAGGAGCAGCGCTTCCTGTCTGGTGAGCCTCATGACCAAAGAGGACCCTCTGCCCGAAAACCTGGAGCATGTCTGGTCTCTGCTGGATGGCTGGCTAATGAGTTGCCATGCCGAGGCATGGGACATGGGTGGCTGCTGCAGCTGCTGCTTACCATAACGAGTGCTGCTTTGCCTATGGCACGGCGTAGCGCTGTCCCGAACGAGAGCGAAGCCAACTGCAGCGCAACCACTGCAGGCGAATGTCAGTTCAGGAACGCAAAAAGAGCGAGCAAAGCAATCGACCCCCTCCCGCCCTCCTCCTCTCCTCTTTGCGTGGAGGGTAGGGGACAAGCCGTGCAGCGGCGGCCAGCAGCAGCGCCTCATGCAGGAAGGGCTCCTTGGTCTAGGTTTCTATTGTTTTTGTGTTGAAAAAAGTTGAAAACGGGAGCTAAAGGGAGAGAAAGTAACTTAAACTTAACACACTGAGTCCCAGGGGGGTGGTAAACACGGGTTATTGTGACCACGCGTGTAGTCCATGTGGGACTAGACGTGTTAAAGGAAATCTTTCTGAACAATTGAAGGTGTTTTGCGAGTGCTGCTGGATAGAAAGATTAGCCATTACATCGGCGATGGTTGTCTTTCTTTCCTCTGCAGAAATTGAATGGGTTCGGTGTGTTTGATGGTTTTGCCTTCGTGTTGAAAGCAAATGACAACTGTGAACAGATCTGTTTCTTTTACCAGTGCAGTGGATCTTAGGTTGAGTACAAACCAGCCTCTGCGTGCTGTGCTGAGGAAGAGGTACTCGGGGAGGGCCTTGTCCACCACCCGACCTGTCCTTTGTTCCCGGTCCCTTGGCTTTGGACTCACGCCCTTTCCACTGCCCTCTATTCACTTGTAATTGCGCACCACTTTTTCACAATTACCTTCCCTTCCTTCACCGCGAGTCCTGTCCGTCGCAAATAATGAGGCACCACGACGGCGGAATGTCCCCCTCCGTTACCCCCACTCCTCTCTGGCGCCCCCTTTGGGACGGAGGCGGGGACCACGACCAAACGCAAAAAAAGTAGATTAAATGCAGTGCTGTTCTAGGGAGGCAGAAATGGAAATCAAAAGGTTGGATAGAATTGACAGACCCCCGGTGCGGGCGCAGCGGCTGCTGTGGCCTGAATAGACCTGGATTGACTGTTCGCCGTGAAGTCCCTTCTCCTCTCCCGCGCTCTCGCTCGCGAGTCGTCCCGTCCCTCGACAGGGCTGACCTTTGAGTGGAGTGGAGAGCAGTGGGCTGATTATTTCTCGAAGACGGCGAGAGGTTACCGATCTCGTTCCATGCTTTATGAGGGAGGTCAATAATCCGATCAAAATACCGAGGTCCCCAAAAGTGCGGCATCATAAATTGACAAGGGTTATCTGGTATACTACTGAGCGTTGACATATGTTTTAAATCAAGTCTGGGGCCGGTACGTTCAGTGCGGCTTCACTCTGGAGGCTGGCAAACACAGCCAAGTGTAACCGGGCCGCACGTGCAGATTGCAGGGGAGCCGCCGACCATGCCCTTTTCCTCGTGTCCCCGCCGTCGCCCAAGTTTCACAAACATTTCACAAGATACACAAATTTAATCGTGTTTCCTTTCTCAAATTCTCATTAAAACGATACAACAGCTAACTATGCATCGAGGTGTGCACTATCCGATACGCTACGGAGCCATTGGGAATATTAATAAGGACGCGTGTAGAAAGTCGTACACGGCTGCTCGGTGGCGACGGGCAGTCACAGCTGGGCAGTCGAAAGGTCACTCCGGTAGGCTCCGGGAGCGGGCCAGCAGCACTAGGAGAAGCAGCCGCGATCGCGCTGGAGCCATAGAACCGAGCAACACACACGCTCACACTCTCACGCACGAGCAGGAAAGGGAATCTGAATACGGCGGAGGGGAGCCGCGGCGTTGTTTGGTGCAGCCGTTTGTTAGTTTGGGACAGGACAGGCAGGGCATAAAGGACGGCCAGAACCGGGTTTCCTTATTTCATGCTTCCTTTCTCCGTCTGCTGCGCCCGGTTGTGTGTGTGTGCGTTTGTGTGTGTGTGTGTGTGTGTGTGTGTGTGTGTGTGAGTCTGTGTGTCTGTATGTGTTTGTGTTTGCGCGCGGCACACGTGCAAGACACTCTGCGTGTTGGCCCCTTATCCGTCATAGTTCAGTCAAAGAGTTTTCATATACCCTTCGAAGTAATTGTTTTATCAAGAAACCCTTAATGGGCAAATAAAATTTCACCCTCAACTCCTTTCCTCGTTTATTTTTGGCCTTCCCTGGCCCTTCAACTTTTGTAAGTAACACACCGTGTACCCAAAGAAAATGGTGACTTCGCATTCAGGTCACTGCACACAGCAAGCCGCCGCCGCCACCGCGTCGACCGCAGGAGCGCCGACCGCTTGTGTGTGTGTGTGTGTGGCAAACGCAAGAATGTGTGTGTTTTAGCGGCTATATTTCGTCCTATTGTGTCCTTGGCCGCGGCCGCGCGCAGCCCGCAGCGCTGGACGTTGACATTTGGCCCCTTGCTGCTGCTGCTGCTGGATAGGCTGGCGAGCGTGATGAGCGAGTGACCTCCGCCCGGGGGTCCTCTCAGCATGTGCGCGTTGTGTAACGAGCCCGCCATCTGGGTCGGGATGCGCCGTGCACGCCATGACTTTGCACACACAGGGCCCGGCTCAAGTGGGCGGGCCAGGGCCGCGGCGCGGAGTGATGCAGAACCTCTAGTCGGGCCATGCATGCGGGCCGGGCTCGGGCACGGGGACAATGAAGGGCTCCAGGACCGAGCCCAGGTCGGTGGCGGCTGCTGGCTGCTCCAGAGGAATGCAAGCAGCGCTGCGCGATGCTCGGCGCTGCTGTGGCGCGGCGCTTACCTCACCGCGAGGCGGAGAGAAGGGGAGCAGGGCGAGCAGCGCGCGCTGAGGCGGGGCGGCGGCGTCGGAAAAGAAAACGTGTCACCGGGGGGCTCAACGAATTGTGGAAAAAAAAGTCAATGAGATGGCAAAGAAACTGCTATACCAGCCGATACCAGTCCGCAGCTCCCTGAGCGGTGCCCCGTCCTGGGTGGCGGGGTGGTCCGGTTCTGGCCCCGAGTTGGGCAATTTGTCTAATCGTTGCAGTCATTTCCAAAGTAAATAAATAAAGTCGCGCTAGAATCGTCTCCTTCTACTCCTTCTGACCAGGGCAGTGATATCAATAATTGCGAACTAGGGTGGTCACTGTACCCCGCTGAGTCCCACAATGCCGTCCCGTGTAAATGCTCTGGGACTTGCAGTTGTTTTGAGCTCCTTTTACTCCCTGGGCCGTGCAGCCGCAGCAGGCTTGTCAATACTGACCTCTTCGCGGTGCTTCGCGGCCCCTCAGCCCGCGGAGAGCCTCGGGCCGAGGGGAATTAGCAAGCCCAGCGGTGCCTACTGCCGTCCCGTTACCCCTTGTACTTTGCACGCTCACGACGGCCGCGTCGTCGCCGGCGAACGCGGATGCGGTGGCGAAGCGGGGCCGGGGGGTGGGGCCGGGGGCTGGCGCGGAGGTGGCAGCAGACCCCCGTCCTGTCTTTCGCCGCCTCCTCGCCTTGCGCGCGTCGAAAAAGGTGTCAAAAGTCCGCAAAGTGTCGCGTTTCCATTGCCGGTCTGCAGCGGTGCTGCCCAGCCCGGCTCAGGTCGGGGCTGAATAAGGGACTGCGGTCGCTTCACATGGACGGGGTGGCGCGGCCCGGTGAGACTAGCTTTATGTAATACATTATTTGCATCGTGCATTTTTTACACTCGCCTCTAGCAGCGCGGCTGAGACAGGCCGCGATGTAGACTCTAAGCGCTCCCAGTCGAGGTGTCAATAACGTTTTATAGCGCTTTGTCTCTAAGGGCACTACTCGTCATTCACCTGCGCCCCCGTCGACGTGGCGGCGCGGTTAAAAACAAAAGAGGTCCATATTCTTTCCGCCTGCGAGTCGTACAGCCTGTATAGAAGTTGCCCCTGCAGTCGCTATGGAATGGCGCACGGTGGTACGGCGTACGGCAGTGTGGGGTCGTCGCGGTCCTGGCTCGAGGTGCCTGTGGCGGCGGCGGCCTGTGGGGCTCGCGGCTCGGCTGGCGGCACGGTGGGGGCGCGGGCCGCGGGGGCCCTGCCTGCGGTCAGACCTGTGTGTGGTGTACGTAGGTTGCGCCGGGCTGCGCCGGGCTGCGGTGTGTGTATCCCGTTGGGTGCGCGGACTGCACGCACACTCAGACCTAAGTGAAGCGAGGCGGGGGGTCAGGTCAGGGCGAAAGAGTCACACACCCTGCTTCCCCAGCAGCTCCATCGCGACTTCGCAAGTGAAGTGCAAGCTGTTTCGCGTACGTAAAAATTGAGACGCTCAGGGCGGGTGTGCGCCCTGAGGGCTAGAAAAAATTGCACAACGGCACCAAATTGTGAATTGTGGCCGCGTTAACAAGAAATCAGAAAGTAAATCATATCATGCCTTTCGCCCTTTTCTGTGTGCTTTGAACAACAAGAAAATGTCAGTTTGTTAAAAGAGTTTGCCGTGCAACGTGTACGTACCTACACTGGTTTAGCCTGCAGCTCGCGGCTTCAGGACTGCTGGCCTGCCCTATGCAGCGTCGTGGTGTGCCCTCTCCCTCCCCACTCCCCTTCCCTTTGGCTAGAGCCCCCCGCGGACGAGGAAAAGGGGGAAGAGGGGGGGGGGGGCGCAGCGCTGCGCCGCACCCGCACCGGGCCGCGCCTGCCTGTGCTGCTGGCCAGCCAGTCACGCCCGTGCCGCCGCGCCGCGCAGTTGGCCCGTACCCGTCGCTGCTGCGCGCACCGCGCGATTGTGTTGTTGTCTCATTGAGAGTGAGTGTCGTGTGAGTTTGCACGGAGTGGCCATGGATTATTAGCGGCGGAATACCATCAACCAGTCAAGACGGCGGGCTCGGCGTCTCTCCTGTCCGCATGGAGGCACGAGTTGTACTTTCTTGGTGAGTGTGAGGCTCCGCTGGTGGTGAGCCCCGTGGTTGGTGAGCGGAGTGAGTGCCGCTATTTGTGAGCTTGGCGCCGCTGTAGGTGAGCATCTCTCAATGGTGTGCATCTCTCAGTGGTGAACGACTCTGGCGGTGAGCGCCGCTGGTGGTGTGCACTGCTGGTGGTGAGCACTGCTGGTGGTGAGTACTCCTGGTGAGCGCCGCCGTGGCTTGCGCTGCGCGATGGTATCGCACGGCCCCCGGTCCCGGTCGGGTCCCGGTGCAGCACAACAACCGAGTATGCAACACGCCGCCTGAGGACCTGTACCGTGGAGGAGGGCTCTTGCTCCGCTCTGCTCCCGCTCCTCCAACACCTGTGACGGGGCCCCTGTCGAGTCGAGGCCACTCTCTGCTGCGGGGGAGTGTCCTGCTGAGCTTCCTCCGGATGGGCCTGCCTGACCCACTCGGCGGCGCCCGCGACGCCCACCCGGCCGCCGCGGCCATACCCTCATTCCGATCCCGAAACGGACGAGCCTCTACAGAAATTATTGATGGAGCTAGGGTGTGTGCAGCAGCGCGCTTGCCGCTGTGTTGTGTATTCACAGCTAGCCCTAGGCTGGCCGTGCGCACGCTGCACGCCGCCACGGCCAGTGTATAACGGCGGGGCAGTAAGCCCGCACGCACGCCTGGGCAGAGTAACCACACGAAAAAGAAGGCGGGTCGGGCGTTGACCGCCCACCTCTCCGTTGATGTGCCGCAGATCCGTCGCGTCGGGACGCCACACCACGCCCCCCTGCAGCTGCAGCTGAAAGCCCTCGCGGCCCCTCGTAGTGCCGGCGTGTCGCGTTTTATTCGTCGATGACTTTATAGCCGGAGGGGCAATTACCTACCCCCCCCCCTCCCCCTCACAATTTCCTTCTCTCCCGCGAAACCCTCCGCCGCCGCCGAGCCCTTCTGATTGCCGCAGCCGTCATGCGCCATTCCAGGAAATCATCATCATCATCATCATCTCTTGGTTGTGCCCCGCTATTTGGCGTCTGTCGCTTTGGTATGGTCACGCGCCAAATGGCGTGGAGGCGCCGCGAGCAGGGCCGGAGCCGCGGTCGCTTCCTGCGGCGACAACGCGGGTTCCCTTTGACTCTGCGCGGGGAGCGTGGGGGCGGGGCGCGGCACGATGGCGGAGGGCGGGGCGGGCCCGGCGACTTGTACCCGCACCGCACCTACGGATTATTGGTCAGGGATTGCGTTACACGGCGATACACGCGCCTCGCATGCACACGAGCCCGGCCGAGCCGTCCCTGCCGCTGCTGCCGCCACCGCGAGAAACGCCAATTTTATTCATTGCACGTTAATTAATTTACCGCAACGTCCAGTCGGTCGGGACCAACGAGCACCGAACAGAATGGGTCGGGCGGGCCCGGCCGGTGGGGCCATTTCATACGGGCGGGCTGCTCCATTCCGTGACCTTGCACGCACGCGCTCACACACATAATCACACACACACACACACACACACACACACACTGCTAAAAACTAATTACCACGGCGATGACGCGCTGCCAGTGTGTGTGTGAGTGTTTACGGAGGCCGGCCGCCGAGCCACTTGCTGCGCTGCCGGACAGGCCAAGGACTTTCTCTACTATCTTGGGAGCTGCATGCCCGCCGCCAGGCCCCGGCGAGGAGGCCCCGCCCCCGTCCGCCTTTGGCGTGCAAAACTCTGTTGGGTGGACGGGATAGTGTCTCTCTCTCGGGGGGGATTCGGTTCCCACTCTGGTGGCCAGTCTTATGTAGTGCTACTGGAGGTGCCTTTCCTCTACGCCAGTACCCCCCCCCCC